TAGCAGAAGAGACAAGCTCCGTCCCACAGGGAAACTGGGTGAGCAGGGACAGGATTGCCCACAGTGTCTGGAAGTCCTCTTCGAGGAATAAGGGAGCTACCAGGGTGCCTATGGAGAGCTGGGGGGTGAAGGGGGTGGGGAAAGAGGACACCTCCCCTTGTCATCAGCATCAACAATGTAGGGGCTGAATCTGTCTCTCTTCTGCAGGACTGAAACAATTGTCACCATGTGGCCCATTCCCCAAGCCTCTGCTGACAGGTGCTTAGTGTCTTTGGTCCCCAAAGAGCGGCTACATGGGGCCTTTCCCACCAGTGTAGTCATGGTAAGGGCTGGTCCGGGCCTTAGGCCGAGGGATGGAAAAATCATTCTGGGGTTCGATGGCCTGAAAAAGAAGCAAAAACATCTTCACCTTTCAAAGCTGGAGAAAAGTAATAGAATAAGATTAAGACAAAACAGGGGGGAGAGAAACAGAACTGTGGGTTTCCTGAGAATATGATTGGTGGAGCTGTGGAAGGGGATCCTGGCAGAACAAACCAATAATGGAGATGGTGTCTCCAGAGGACTTGTGGGGATATGGCACGAGCTACTAGACCCAGCCAGGCTGTGATCTGAAGCAGGACTGGTGACTGTACGCTAGGACATGCAGCTCACCTGCTCTGGATCTGCACTACAATTTGTAGCAACTGTGGATGGAAATACAGCCAGGGCATGGTCTGGGGAAAGGAGCACAGTCTGCAGCAGGAACTGTGCTCAAAGGGAGGACTTACTATGAGATGTTATGTCCAGAAATATTGAAAACCACAGCCTCAGATTTTGCCTTGGGCCCCTTTTGCCTCCCATGACCATGAACATGCCACGACTCCCTCCCCCCAGCCATGGGTGCATGTCACTGCGTTGTCTGGCTCTGGGTGAGGCATCCATCCCCCTCCACAGAGCCTTCTGTAGGCCCATCTAGCTTTGTCCCTTCTCCTTCCTTTCTAGTCAGTCCCTGAAGAATAGCCTATATCTTGTAGAACAGATGAAGAGAAGTGTGGATTTACCTTCATCTGAAATTGAGGAGAGTACGGGGAGTCCCTGGGGTCTCCTTTGCCTCCTGAGGTACAAAACAAGAGGGGGGAAAAGTTAATGAGTTAGCATTATATGGTAGCTTGGAAACACTATGTCACAGAAGACCCAAAGGGTCTGCAGCTACTTTAGCGGCTGCTTTTAGACTGACCAAAAACTATGCAACCTGCAGGCAGGAATGGGTTGAAATCCACAGGTGACTTTCTTATTAAATATTTCCTTATGAAAGCAGGAACGTATGGTATTGTAAAAAGCAGGACAGGTGACCTTAGAGTATAGACCATCTCCTATTACCTCTCAATTACTATCCTACTCACAGGCTAAATCCCCCCACTTCCATGCATAAGACCCCTTCTGTGGCGTTCCTGGGACACATCTTTTCTTTGCTATTCTTTTAGAAAGCTGGAGGTGTGACTCCAGGGGACAAATGTGCAGATTCATGGGGAATGTGGTCACACCTCCTAACCATAGCCTTGGGGAGCTTCAATTGGCAAACGTTTTTGCCTGCTCAAAGTAGGACTTCTACAGAAAAGTAAGTCCTCCTGATTCCTTTTTGGATGATGGGTTTATTTTTAAGTGGATAATGGAAACCAGTTCAGAACTGGAAGAAATAATCTCCAGGGTATAACCTGGAGGGGTCTCAAGTGTTGAAACATCAGTAAAAGGCAAACAAAAAACTCTCCTGAATTTTTACCCAGACTTTGCGGACACAACAGAGTCACAAAGAATTTTGTTTCTGCCCCGACACCCAGTAAATCTCCTACTCGCTCCTTTCTCCTACACATGTGTGGCTTTTGCCTTGGTTCTTACTCTTTTCCTTCTTTGATTGGGAAATTCTTACTCACTTGCATTTCTTCATCATGCTGAAACTTTTCCTTTTCCTACCTCTAAATTGTTCATTATCTTCAAAACTTTTCTTGCAGCCCTCCTATCCCTTTCAGCTCATGAGCGGTGCATGTGTGCTTAGGGCTGGGAGACAGAGCAGTCAATCACTTCATCATACCTTGCAGAATTTCATCTTGGGTGTAGGCATGGTTGTCCACTCCAGAGGTCTGCTTTATCAGTCTGGGCTGGCAGAAATCATTTTCTGGGGGATAGTCTTCCAGCTTCAGAGGAGCGGTGAGGAAACAAATTTCAGGGACTATGTACATTATCAGGAAGATCCATCCATTGGACACCAGAGCAATGGCCAGAACAGGATCATCCCAGCTCGGTTTGTTTAAAATTCTGTTGCCTCTTATAAGCATAGTGATCCACACCACCCAAATGGCAATGGAGAACAGGATAGTGACAAAGATGTGTGCTCCGTGCCTCTTCCAGCTTTTATATGACCCACAGAATGTGAACATGGAAACCAGGAAAGTCAGAGCCATCAAGAAGAGCACATAGATCAGAAGCATGACAAAGTCCTTGTTGGTCTTCTCTGCAGGCATATTCAGAAATATATCTCTCTGGTTTACTAGCATAGTGACTAGGTACTCAATGCTGATCACAATTTGCACCAGAGAAAAGGCAATGATGAGGAGCAGCAACACCAGCCAGGAGAAGGGCTTTCTTCCTTTCACTAGTTTGTTGAGGTTGTAGGCGTGGGTGAGGAGACAGGAGAAGCAGACAGCGAAGAGGACTCCAAAAAGGAAGAAGCGAGTGGAGCGAGTACTGTCATTGAGTTTAATGATGAAGGCAAAAGTGAGACCAAAAATGCCGAGTGTGCCTAAGAGGAAGAAGAAATAGATGGCGATCATGTGCCGTTTGCTGTTGTCTTGGACTTTACAGATGAAGAAGAAGAGTGAGCAGATGAGGAAGATGGTGACGACAACTCCAGCTGCAGCCAGTGATTCCAGGACGATCCCCCAGGCCTGCTCCATGTCACAGAGCAGGTAATAGTCAGCAGCGATGCTGCCGCAGCCTCGGGGAGGTGCCGTTGCCATCCTTGTGCCTTCTCAGATGACCTCCCAGGGGTATGTTTCCCAAAAGCTGCAGAAGAAATAAAACACACACTGTTGTATCAACCACCTGAGCACTGCAGCTGCAGGAGAGGAAGGACAGATGTCCACCCCCACTTCAATGGGCAGGTAGACCACAGTACTAAGGACATGGGGACTATGGGAGCAAAGCTGCCCCTTGTTTGGCATGGGCCCCCTCACAGGGGCAAGCCAGGCTCCTCAGCAGGCAGCAATTCACCTTATAAGTCCTCTGCACAGTCCCTGGTTTGCGCAATGTCGAGGAGCATGGGGAGAGGCGGAAGGTGAGGCTCTTTCGCAGGTGTTACCTTGGTGCCCTGAAGCACAGAGACTGAGCTGCCTTGTCACTTTTGTCCCAGGTAATACAAGAGCAGATGTTAGTCATAAGACAGTTTACGCTCTTTTGACATATTCAAACAATGCAGTACCTTGTACCAGGGAGGTTCAGAGATGGGCAATAGAGAACAGGAAGCTCTTTTCTCCATTTCTTTTCTCTCTGTTACCTTCTCTGAAACACTCTTGGCTTTGCTTTATGGGTAAGAGTGAAGGGAAACTTTAACTGCCTTTAACCTGCAAATAATTATCCTGGATGCCTCCAGCACGGCTCTTCTTACTCCAAACTAAATAGCAGATATAGGCCACCAACCATAGGCCCCAAACTCACATTTCTGCTTCTTTAAGGTAGCACAGCAGTAAGAACTACCTCAAAGATCTCAGTTCCCTCCCAAAACTATTGCCATGAAGTGGCTGGAGACCTGACAGGATGTCAGAGCTAGTGCTGGCATTGCATGAGAGGTAAACAGTAAGTTCCTGCTTGAGTATCTGCAGTCTATGAGTCAAGGAAGGACAAGAGTCTGCCTTGCATGTTCCTGCTGTCTTATCACAAGGAGTTCAGTATTGTCTGAGTAAGCCTGGTCTGAGCCTGTCTCGCCAGGGGGTGAAAGGGCAGTTTAGGTGAGCTTTGCCCATCACTGAGTGGAATTAAGTTGTCTGCTTTCTCTGGTGCTTGAAGTGTATGCAGAAACCACTGCATGGGGATGCTGGGCATTTTGTGGTCCACTGTGCAGGCACTGACTGAGTTTAGATCCTGGGGGCTAGATACTGCTTTCTTGGTGCCAGGATTGCTCAGTGAAACTCAGGTTTCTACAGTCTGTCAGATCAGGAGCTTAGATACAATATGGGCATGGAAAAATGAGAAAAAATCTGGCCTTAATTGTGAATCGCATAGGAAAACCGAAGATCTTCTTTTCTGACATATAAAGAGAATTAGCTGATCTTGCAAAAGCCCCTTATTGCTTCTCTCTGTGCCGTTTGCCTTGACTTTCCCCCTCTAGAACAACATACTGTAATTATGAGGCTTGTTCTGAAACCCTTACCACAGATTTCAGGAAGGGGAGTCTTCAATAAATGGTACATGATCTAATCAAGGAATGAGGGGAGAAGGGGGGAAATATCACTGACTCACACTCAGCCCCACACATGACTTGATGTGACCTGCTTGTGAATGGTGCAATGTATCTCCAGCTGGTAACCTCACTATGTTAAAGGAGATGTGGGGCTCTTGAAAAAGTTGCCTGCCATAAAATGCAAAGTATGCAAATATGCAGGTACTCTGGAATCTCATGCAGAGAATGGAATCAGTGAATAATGCTTGGGGGAGTTTTAATGAATCATCATTCACAGAATTTTGGGGACTTATGATCACTTGCACAAATAGCTGAGAGTTATCCAGACATCTGTGAGTAATGAATAATAGCCTCTGAAAATCCAGAGTGCAAATGCTACATTTCTATCCACAGAAAGTTACTGCTGATCGGGTTAGTTTACCTGTTCACAAGCTCTGGCAGATACAGACTTGTACCCACTCTCTGGGCAGCTGGAGAGCCAAGAGGGCCTGCATGAGACCCCAGGCCAGCACCAAATGCACTCACAGCATTAGGTCCTGACTGGACCACAAGTGAAACTTGCCGCACAATCAGCTGTCACAATGCATGGAACAAACAGGATGGAAAGAACCTCATTATTTTGGAGAGGTGGGTCACTTGCTCTGTTTTTTACTCCCTTTTTTTTTCCCCCAGGGTGGATGTGCCACTAGGCACGACAAGTCTGTGCCCTGTCTCCTTGCTGAGTGATGCCTCTCGGAGCTGAGTCTGCCCATCTAACACCTACACCAGCATCCAGGATTTCCAAGGGGCTCTGCAGCCTGTGCAAGGCAGCTTGTGCTGTGGTAACTTCACTACCTTCTGGTCTACCGGGTCTACATTACAGCTTACTCTGGAGCATGGTTCTGGCAGTTGTGCTGAGGCTTTTCCCTCTGGTCTGAGCCTCCTTTCTCACTGGTCCTCATGCATAATCTATGCCAATCCAGACCCAAATTTCAAATCATTTTCCCATGATGGTCTGTCACAACTCCGCAGCCTCCAGCTGACCCTCCTAAGTTATAATTGTGGGTAGGAGGCAATCTCTGGATTTGCCACGGTGCCCCATGCTCCTTGCTTTCCCACCCCTTAGAGCCACAGTCTTGCATGACCATCCCACGCCAGCTGGATGATGCTGATCCACCCTGTATCCTATAAGACGTTTCCTGGAATTACCTTCCTGGGTCCTGCCCAGAGCCTGTAGTCCCAAGGAGGCTGCGGCTGGAAGAGGCAAATTCCCAGTGCTCCAGTAACACAGTCACCTCCGCTCTTGTCACCACAGTGCAGCAGCAGCTCTGTGCTTGTGCTCCTAGGGAGCTTTAAAAGCTGGAGGGCTGGGGAGGTGTGGCTGAGCACACCTATTCCAGTTACACTGCCTCACCAATGCTGTTATGAAAATACGGTTCCCGTGCCAGGAAGTGAAGTAAAACCTCCTGACGTCAGCAAGGCATTCACCCCGCATCAGGGTGGGGATGGAGCCTCCGTCTGCCCCAGCCCTGCGACTGAACCGAATGTGGCTCAGCCAAGCGTCTGATAAGGTGCTCTTCTGTCTGAGTCCTGGCACCTGTGGGTGGGGGCTATGAATATCAGCTTGTTCCCTCCCAGCTCTGAGCCCTTTGCCTCTCTGCATACTTTCTTGCCAGGTAACTGCTTGCTGAGGAAGGTAGAAGTGGAGGAGGTCTTGGGAGGCAAACTGTCCTGCAGCTTCTGGAGGGAGACCGGCTGCGAGCCCTGCCCTGAAGGCAGAGGAAAGCAGGGGTTCTTGCTGGGAGCTGCATCTACATGCGAGGATGTGTCTTGCCTTCTCTCCTCTCTCATTGCTCCATCTATGCCCGTGAGAGCTGTGTGCTCCTTTCCTGAAAAGGGCAGTTTCCCTTTCCTGGTTGCTATCTCTGCCCTGGCTCTGCTCTCTGGCTGCACAGTCCCGTCTGCTCGCTGGTACTGAGTCACTTTGTTCAAATTGCTGGCCCAAACGGCTAGTGAATGAAGGCAGTGACAAACCCCTCTTGCTCTACATTGTGCCTCTGGCCTGATATGCCTATTAGTGCAATCCCATCCAGCACCAGGGAAATGTTCAATGCCTTCGTGGCTTCATCTGCTTAATTCAGATGTTGCTCACTGGGAATATTCTATTATTGTGAGTACAGGGATTAACATGAAGGCCCACCCATGCCAAGCACTAAGTCCCTACCCACAGCCCCTAAATTTGGAAAGTCCTCCTGCCTCGTGGAGGATGTGCTCCTTCCTGACACAGGGAGAGCAGCTGTACAATCTCATGCTGAGTTCTGACTCCCAGCAGTTGTCTATTATTATTATTATTATTATTATTATTATTATTATTATTATGTTTGTGGGCCCCTAGTTTATTTCAGGTGCTGATCGCTTTTGAACGTCACATGTGGAGATAGCCATGAGACACAAATAAATGTGCTTTTCTTAGTTCTCTTTTGCACATTCCCTAGAAATACACAAGGGACTCCAGGGCCACATGGCTCACCAAGTGAAAGTCAATGCTTGGTTCAATCACTGCAGGAAAGGCCATGCTGAGTCCCAGGACAATTCCTTACATCCCTCATACTTTCATTTCAGTGTAAAATCCTGAGGCTTCTTAGGAAAGAGCATATCAGGTTTCTTTACAGTAAACTAATCTTTAAAGTTGAGTTTACACTAAACTCAACTTTAAAGTAGGTCCCAGGTTTGGTGAGCTAGCCAAGAGGGAGGCAGCTGTGAAAAATGAGAGGAAGAAAGGAGTTTAGCAGCAGCTCAGCAGGGTTCAACTGGTCTGGAAAGAAAGCCCAAGAACCTTTCAATGGTCTCCAGTCCCACCTCCCCCCCCCAGCCCACTTACATCTTGTCAGAGCACATTATGAACCACCATGCACGTATCTACACTTACAAAGACACACAAAACACCATGGAAGGCAGTGTGTCAAGTTATATCAGGTTTTTTGGGAAAAAGAATAAAGATAAGAAGATTAATACTGACATTTTCCAGAATGCCTGAGAAATCCTTGAGTCAGTCATCAAACACTCCCTGTATTTTCAAGACACAAATACATGGGGATATATTTTTAAAAACATCCCAAGCTGCCTAGGATGCCAGGTTCTGCTGACTCACGATAGTCAGAAAATGGGTGCCCATGGCCTTCCCATTGTGCCGAGGAGGGTGGAGAAACGTTGCTGGTCTACATGAACGAATGCAAACAACACAGTTGTCACACTGGAAGGGTGAGATGACTGTCACCTCGCTTTAGGGATGGGATATAACTTGCAGATGCAGACATCTAAATTTAGATGTCTGCAGGTTATCATCTAAACATGAGCTGAGTGTCTGAGCTCCCATTATGGCCAGAAGGCCATAAGGAGAGGCCCAGTTGATAGGATGCAGGTGACTATTTCTGCATGTACTGAAATGCTCCCAGGTGTGGTTGGCTGAATTGCCTGGGGCCTTAGTTCAATTGCTAGTACATCAGCATCTAGTGTTATTTAAGATGCCACAGGGTATCCTGCCTGGCTTCCAATGGCTGCTCTGGGATCACATGGGTCTACCATACCCATCTCTTATGTCAGACCCGCCAGCCCTATGCAGATGTCTTAGATAACCTTGAACATCTTGAAAGGCTCTAGAGGCTTTTGTTTGAGCAAATGCATTTGTGGCCTGGGTCTCCACTGGCCATTTTGGAGCTGAGATGCCCAGCTTATATATATATAGGCACCTAGATGTAGATGTCCACATGATTGCGGGCTCTGTTCTGGTGCACAAGCATAGGCGGATAGTCCATTCAAGGTGCTCTAGGGTTACGAAGACATCAGCACAGGGCTGACATATTGCATACAAGAGCTACGGGAGACTGTCCCTCTGCAGCATCAGCTCACACTGAAGAGCCCAGGGGATCTCAGACAGTCCTAGGCACCTATGTGTTGGCAACTGAACCGAATCCTAGCTGTCTACAGAGCAGACATCTTCAGCTGAGCCGGTTGTCCAGACTCCCACAACAGTCGATGGAGAGAAAGAGGCACTTCCCAGGGGAGTTTCAATTGACTAATGAGAATGAACCCATATCATGCCCAAGAAGTATCTTTTCTTTCCATCAGAAGTGAAGGGAGATAAGGTAACGAATTCAGATACAGATCGCTATATTTGTCAGCTTGGCAATTGCATGGCAAGTCTCCAAAATCATTACAACACAATCCAGTAGCAAAATGCTGGCAATGTTGGCAGGTCCCTTGAAGGGAGGCTGTGGGTAGCAAAATGGCTTGCTTTGGCCATACTGCAGCCCTGGACAGGCAAGCTGGCTGCTGGTGAGTGGGGAGGAGCAGCGGATACTGCAGATAAGGAGAGGAAGGGGCAGTGGCAGGGACCGACCCTTTGGGCAGCATGTGCTCACACCTCCACTTCCCGTCCTCCGTCATCAGGAGGAGGGCTGGGCTCTCCCTCTGTCTTGGCTTCACTCCTTTCCCTGCCCTTCTCCTTCTCACTGCAGGCATTACCAAACCCTGCTCCCTCATCATTGGGGTGCCAATGTTCAATGCTGCTCATGGTGCAAAGGAGCCTCAGGCCAACCCTGCTCCACTGGCTGCAGTGTTGCAGGACTGAATTGCCAGCAGTGGGCAAAGAGCTGCAATCCATTTCAGCTCAGCCAGGTCCGGAGGAGAGAGCATGACTAAGAGGTTCAGAGAGTGATTTAATATTTTTTATTAGGCTCATTCATAAAGTAAGAAGATGTCTAGGGAGAGATGGTACTTAGTGCTCTGGAATGAATCTAGATAATGTGTTTATTTCTGGCCAGCGATATTGTCTGCATCTTGAGTATGTTGTGTCATTCCTTTTGTTTAGCTACCTGTACAGTACATTGACATCACAGAAACCACCTCTCTCCTTGAAAGATCCTCTCGCCAGCAGAGTCACACTGAGCTAACATTACAGCAGCCTCTACCCTTTCCTTCCATTTCCTTCAGTTTTAAATCAGTTCAGGTATAAACATTATGACACCCTTGAAACGATCATGAGGAAGAGGACTGACACAGGTGATGGGCCTTCAGTCCAGGCAGCCAGCTCAGAGTACCTCTGACTTAGAAAGGAGTGAAGACAAGGGCAGGGGTTGTCATTCTGGAAGGGGACATGTGGCACCTCTCCATAACACTTGGCATTGTCCTGGGACAGGCAGGGTCTTGTCTCTGAATTCCCTGCGCTCTGGCTCTGAAAGTTAGTCCAGAGACTACCAAAAAACCCCATCTAAGGAGTTAAATCCTTTTCCTTTGGGAATGAAATGTGGCACCAAAAAGTGAATGTTTCCAAAGAAGTTTCCAGATGAATCTCATACGGCTGTCCTTAAGAGCTTCCATTTGTCTCTGCAGCCATCAGCTCTTCCAAATTGTATGCTGTGCTCCCTGCCTTTTTCAATCTCAGGAACAAAATAAACATTTTTTCAGTATATAACAGTGATGTGACTCTTTGCCAGGGAACACTGATTGCTTCCTGCTTCTCAGACAAGCTTTTTTCTTTGAAGAAGTAGGTTTTGGTCAGCCCCTTTCTTCTTCTGGCTTCTAAACACCCAGATTCCTGGTTCAGGGAGTTCACCTACTGGGAGGGGGAGAGATTTTGGCGGGAAGAAGGCAAGGAGACTTGTTAAAATATTCAGACCCACACTACTGAGTATGTCGTATAAGCATATAAGCATATAAACCTGTGAATTCTCTTCCTGAGCATCCCTAACTGGTGAGATGACACTACTTCTGGAAATGCAATGGCAACAGACTGCCTTGTTCTCCACTAGAAACATAACGCTCTGCTATGTTACAAAAGCGATGACTTCCCTGTGTAATCACAGGTGCTTACAACCTAGTACCTGGAAACCCAGGGGTAAGGGATGGCTCCTGGAGCACCCAAAGGAAACTGCCCTGGCTCCATGACTTAGACTTGCTCCCTACCCTAGAGGGTCAGATGTTGCATTATCTTCCGTTCTCCACAACTGTGGAAGCCTGAACAAGAACAGGAAGAAATAAGTAGAGAGGAATTAAGAGTATCTATGGTTGTGATCACTTTGGCTAGGAAGAGCTTTCTCATATAACAGGACTGGTGGCAAAGCCCTCAATGACTGTGAGCAAGTTCCATGAAAAATAGATTTATCCCTTCCTTTTGGACTTTCAGCCATAGGCAGATCAACGTTTCAATGGTGACAACAAAGTCATTCCTCTAGATGGAGTATGCTGGAGGCATTCTCTGCCCCCCACTTACCGAGGGAGTTAAGAAGGCTCCAT